AAAAACTTGGCTTTCTGATAGATGTGCTTCTGGTTCCCGTATCGTAAATCCCACAGTTCTTTCCATACAGAAGTCTCCAGAACGATTCATCTCTGCTTCCTCATACACATGCCCCTTCCTCTCAACAAACGAGGCTATCTGAAGGCTCTCCAAAACACCAGGTTTCATGGCAAGGTCAGAACCTTTCATCTGATCTTTGCAGAAAGATTGTGTCGCTTTTTTTTTCTCGATTTTGAACTGAGAGAGCTTTTAGTGCCTTTTTGTCACTTAAAGCTTTTAGGAAGTTATTACCTAGCCCTAGGGTCTAGGAGCAGCTTTTCTAACGTTAAAAGGACCTTGATCTGTAGAATTCCTTAGTACCCTCTACCCGCTCCAGAACACCAACCAATTCTCATCTGAGGTCCCTTTGTTGTCGCGCACAGCCTGGCGCTCGGGAGGGTTCAGTGGCCGGCTCTCACAGAGCAGAGCATCCAGTCAGGTCTGAACAAGGGACTGCGTATTCCTGTTGCTCTGGGCCCCACAGATGTGCAGCTGGGCCTGCATGTGGGTTCTACCCAGAACCTGTGTGGACGGAAGACGGGGTTGCAGACAGACTGTGCGACAACTCGCTGAAGGTTGTCTGAGAACTGCCCGCGTTTTTTAGCCTGTGGAGAGAACAGCAGAAATGAGATGCTAGAACATCTTTCACACAAGCCCACAGACTCCTACTGCTCGAGAGAGGGTTTTTTTGAAAAAATGTTTGCGTGCTTTTCTTCTCTGCACATTCTTGCTCGTGACCCATATACAGGATCAGTGTCATTCTTATTACCTCAAGAATTAGGACAACAAAATCGAAATGAAAAGAACACTTGGTTTGGGTTTTTTACTTTAAAAATATGTAACAGTTGAAGCTCTCATCTTGGCTAGCTGCATAAGGCTCAGACTCGGAGGGGGTCTCTGTGAGGCCAGAGGTTTGCTTTTTCATAGTGTCCCTTCAAAACTGTCAACTCATGGGGCGCCTGGGTGGCTCAGTGGGTTAAAGCCTCTGCCTTCAGCTCAGGTCATGATCCCAGGGTCCTGGGATCGAGCCCCGAATCAGGCTCTCCGCTCAGCAGGGAACCTGCTTCCTCCTCTCTCTCTGCCTGCCTCTCTGCCTACTTGTGATCTCTGTCAAATAAATGAGTAAAATCTTAAAAAAAAAAAAAAAAAAAAAAAAAAATCTGTCAACTCATTCTTCCCTGGATCCTAAATACAATTTCATTCCAACCCCTTATTATTGTAGACTGTACTTCTTTTCCTTTGGAGCCTCTCTCTGCAGGATGATACATTCAGGTCTTGATGGACTCCAGAGTAGACACAGGACTAAAACAGAAGTGGTCACTTAGAGCAGGATGTTCAACAGCCAGCGTGGGATTCATCATGTTTTCTGTCCCCTCCACCATGACGGAAGGCAGTGGCCCCAGATGGTGGCTTCTCCGTGTGGGGTCCCAGAGAGAACCACAGCCACAGCCGGGCTGCAGGCGATGTGCTTAGCACCCTGCTTTAGAGCGGGGAGGATGCCTGGCATGTGTTCCGTAGTTATGTACTACTGGGCCTCTCTCAAGCAGTGGGAGTCATTGTGGGCTTGTGTGAAAGATGTTCTAGCATCTCATTTCTACTGTTCTCCTCCAACTTTTCTTTCTGTTTTATGTGCGTGGAAATAGTTTATAAAATGTTGGCCTGCAAGGTTGTTTTGAGAATAAATAATGTATGGAAAGGAGTATTTATGCGGATCCAGGACCAAAATTCCATGTGGCATCCCAGAAATCTATTTATTTTTTTGTGTTGCTTCTTTTTCTGGCAAGTGCCAATGCCCTATTTTAAAGAGGTGTTAAGAAAAAATAAACTGTGTACAGAACATATAAATTAACACCTTTTAGGGGCCCATTTTTGGCTGCCTCAGCTCAGATGCAACTCTTCTAAAATACCTTTTTCATCACTTCCTTCTATAACCTTCAAAAGCTGAGGGATGTGCGTGTAATTAGGGTGCTGAGTATATGGCAGAGCTGTGGCTGTGTCCTTCTGCTTACTGCCGTTTGGCATGAATCCGTGTCCACTGCTGTGCTAGATGGATATTTAATTGTGTTTTTTCTCTATCCTTCTATGTTACAGTAGGATAAGATGAAGGATAAAGGGTTTACATCTTACCTGAAGTCACTGAGCATCTTTGCATTTGAAACGAGAACATGTGAGTTTCTGCTTAAGGTAAATGCTTCATGCCTCTCCTTCCCTCTCATGATCTTCATTAAAAAAATTCTACACAAAAAGAACCACAGTACTGTGTCATATTTTGCTTCTCCACAGTAGGTGGCTTCTTGATGGAAACGAATGTATTTTCCATGTGTTAGCAACAGAAAAGATAAAAACCACGTACCTCAGTGCGTACGTACTGCTCAGGGGCAGTGACGCCCCTTCTGTGAGTAACTGGAATGGCCCATGTTGACCAAAGAGGTACTGCGGCGGCAGCAGGTACAGATCAAAAGACAGTGAAGAAGACTGACTCCATCACTCTGGAAATCATCATCTCTTTAATGCCACTGATGACTGTAAATTATTGGCCCTATTCTTTGTTCCTAAAATTCTTTTAAACGCAAATGCATGTCATCCCCCCCAGCTGGCTGTAAGAGTCACGAATACAGGAGTCACGCCTGTCTTTATATCCCTAAACCCAGCGCAGTTCCTGGTTTAAGTGATCATTAAGTTTTGTGTGAGTAATAAACTTAATGAGTGAACAACATCCACAGACTCACGCTTTCATTTTTTTCCCCCAGAGAATTCCACAGATGCAAGTGACATCCTATCCAGCCTAAAGTCCAGGTGCGGTGGGCTCTTCCTTCTCGGTCTAGAAGCAGCAGCTGTAGCTGTTCTGTGAGAGGAGTTCCTCGTTAAAGAACACTCAATGGAGAAAAGACAGTCTCTTCAATAAATGGTGCTGGGACAACTGAATGTTCACATGGAAAAGAATGAAACTGGACTGTGCTCATACACCACTCACAAAAATTAACTCAAGATGGGGCAACTGAGTGGCTCTGTCAGTTAAGTCGCTGCCTTTGGCTCAGGTCATGATCCCAGGGTCCTGGGATCAAGTCCTGCATCGGGCTCTCTGCTCAACAGGGAGCCTGCTTCTCTCTCAGCCCCTGCCTGCCACTCTGGCTGCTTGTGCGCGCGCTCTCTCTCGCTCTCTCTCTCTCTGACAAATAAATAAATAAAATCTTAAAAGAAAATTTAACTCAAGTTAATTAACGACTTACTGTAAGACCTGAAGTCATGAAACTCACAGCGGAAAACAGGAATAAAACTCCCTGACACGGTCTTCCTGATGACTTTTGGCTGTGACACTGAAAGCATAAACAACAAAATAAAACATAAGTGGGAGTATATCACACTAAAAAGTTTGTGCACAGCAAAATAAAGTGAAAGGACAATCTATGGAATGGGGATAAAAACTGCAAACCATATGCCTGATAAGGTGTTAATATCCAAAACACAAGAACTCATAGAACTCAACAAACAGCCACGAAACCAATAACCCAATTAAAAAATGGGCAAAGGACTAAATAGACATTTCTGCAAAGAATATATATGAAAGGCCAACACGTACATGAAAAGATGTTTTATAGCACTAGTCATTAGGGACATGCATATTAAAATCACAGTGAATTATGACCCCACGTCCATGTTAGAATGGCCTTTGTCAGAAAGATGAGACCGCAAGTTCTGGCATGGATGGAGGAGAAAGAACCGTCCTGCACTGTTGGTGGGAGTGCAAACTGGTGCAGCTGCTCTGGGAAAGAGTATAGAAGATCCTCCAAAAACAAAACGAGAACTACCATGTGACCCAGCAACTCCCCTTGCAGGAGTACAGGCGCCCCTTATATGACATGGGCGTCAGAAGCACCCACACTCCCGCGCGTGGAAAATCTGTTTATAAGTTTTGACTCCCAGACACGTTACTGCCAACAGCCCACTCAGGACCTTCACCCGCCCCCTGAGCAGCGGATGAGCATAGACTCCCTGGGTCGCAGGTACTACCCGCTGCACTGACACTGGATCAGCCCGAGAACAAAGGTTGGGAAGAAAACCCCAAGGGAAGCCCTCTTACAGCACCGAAGCAGACATCCGCCTCTGAGAGGCTCCGCGACGCCAACCTGGGTTGTTCTAGGGTCAAAGGTAACGGAAACGTCAACCCGGAAAGCTCTCCTCGCCCCAGGGCCGAGACCTGGAACGACCTGAAGGCCCGTGAGCACCTGAGCGGACGAAGTGCTGTGAGATCCCCGCAGAGAGAGAGAGAAATGCTGCACTGGGGACGACACGGGGGGACCCGGAAGACAGGGCTCCCAGGAAGGCAGACGGACCGCGCTACTGTGGGATCACACTGCTCTGGGGGACCCCAGCACGCCTCGGTCCTCGCCGCACTGAGCACGCGGCGTCGCTAGCGAGCGGGCGGGCGGGCGGAGGTGGCGCGTCCGGAGCCGGAGCCCCCGGGGGGAACGTCGGTCGCTAGTTGCCCGCGGCCCGGCGGCACAGCCGCGCGCACCCGCAGCTCGGACGCACGCAGGCCGGCCCACCGGCTCCGCTCCGCCGCAGGGCTCTGGAGGGTCTGGGAGGGGCCCTCCTCGCCCGGCCGGCCGCCGCCGCGTGCCCCTCACCTGGACGGCGAGCTGGGCGGGCGCCGGGAGAGCCACAGCCGGGGCTCCAGGCGGCCCCGCAGCGGGTGCCCCGCGGCCTGCTCCACCGGCTCGCTCCGGGCCGCAGACGACAGGGGGCGCCCGGTACGAGGGACAAGGAGTGGCCCCGCCACAAAGGCCGGGGCCCGCGGGCGACCCACAGAGGCCGAGAGCCGTGCACAGCCACGCCACCAGGCCCCGGCTCCCCGCGGCACCGCCCCGGCCGCGCACGGCCCCGCACGGCCACGCCCCTGCCGGCGGCCGTCGCCGCGCAGGCGTCACTTCCGGCCAGGGGCGGTCCACATCCGGGTCAGAGCGAGCCTTTCGCTCCGGAGTGTGTGAGTGTTGGCGGTGCCGCGCTGTCCGCGTTCTCTCTTCCCGGTGCGAGCCAGCCGCAGTGTCCACCGGCGAGGAGTGCCCCCGGCAGCGAGCAGGGCGGACGGGCGGAGACCCGGGCGCGGGCTGCGGCCGGGCTGGGCCGCTCTGCCGCGGGCTGGCGGCTCTGCTCCTCCGCTTGCTGCTGTGTCTGGGAGCCGGCTGCCAGCACTGAGGCGTCTCCGGCGGACCGCGACCCCCTGCCCCGGCTCCCCTGGCCGCCCTGCCGGGGAGGGCGGAAGATGCCGGTGAAGAAGAAGAGAAAATCCCCTGGGGTGGCAGCGGCAGTGGCGGAAGACGGAGGCCTCAAGAAGTGTAAAATCTCCAGGTATCGCCTCCCCCCTTCCATCTTCCCTCCTTCGCGGGACGGCGAGAGGAGCAGCAGGCGGGCCGGGGCTCCGGGGCTCGGGCTGCGGAGGCGAGCCCCTGCCGAGAGAGCCGGCTGCTGGGCGCAGGACCCCTCGAGGCTCCGTGCCCGACTGCACCTCGTGCTCGGCGTGTGCGCCCCGGGAGGCGCCGCGGGAGCCGCCTCACCTTTGGCTCTGCGTGCGGGGGAGGGTGGGGAGACGGGACTGCGCGCGGCAGCGGCGCCCTCGCCCCCTGCTCCCTGCGTCCCCGCCCCGACTTCGTCCAGATCTGCAAGTGAGTCCAGGTCCGCGGAAGGGTCACTTCTAGAATCTAGCGTGCGAGGAAGGGAGCGGAGCTTGGGGAAGGTCCACCTGACAGCTGCCGGGGTGGGAAGGAAAGCTCGCTGTGCTGTAAGTGGCCCCGAAATGGAGCCTCTGGAGGGGTCTAAGCCGGGAAATCCCAGCGGGAAGGAAGCCCCTTTCTGGAAGGATAGTGCCTCCCCCTGCGCGCAGTCCTCCGTGCAGAGCTGGAAGGGCCGCGCTCGCGGTTTTGGTTTCTGGCAGTCGAAATGCTGTTCGCTCTCGGCGTCAGTATTAATAAACCCGGGCTTCCTTTGCTCAGTGTCCTCTTGGAGAGGAAAGAAGACGGAGCAGAGCTGTAATTAGAGCTCTCGATCCCACTGTAGCGCGTCACGAGGCACGACGGCAACGTTGTGTGCTGCGCAAAGTCATTGCCGTTTAGGTGTGCGAAGTGGCTCTTTCTGAACCTCACTGGGTGTTTGGGTCTCTGGTTGGCACTTGATGTAACAACGCCAGATGCTGCCATTAAGGCAGGACTGTAGTCAGCGGCCAGGACAGGTCATGACAGCTCTGCTTCCAGAGAGCGGCTTCCAGTCAGCGTGAGGGAGCCGGCTCCCTTCGTCGCGCCTTGCCTTCCTGCCTGACCGGACCGCCGAGGATATTCGGGAGCTGTCAGTGTGACACGATGAGGTTTTCTTGCACATCTAGTAACTCACACTAGAACGTGTCACCGCCACTCCAGCTCATGGTGTTCTCGAACACATGAGTTGCTTATTATTCTAACTGTAGCCATCTTAAGTGCTAACAGAACAGTTATTTAAATGAGGCTCATTACAGTAGCCGAGCAGTCAGTGTTGTTAAAACTCGGTGATACTTTGCTCTGCCAATTTAAGACGTTAAACACGGCAGAGCCTTATTTATGACATTCCTCAGTGCTGGGGTTGTAGCCTTTCTAGTCCCTGTGGTGGTGTAACTCTCTGAGCTCCTTGAAGTTCATTAAGTCCTAAAGGCCATTTATGAACTTGCCAACCTTTAATGATTGGGGGAAGAGAAAGGCTTTGGAATTAAATGGCTTTGGCCCAACTATTTGTACAATTGTTTTCATATTTACAGTTACCTTTGTTTTTAATCTGTGGAATTTAATATACTTTTGGGTCCTAAATCATCTTCTGTCTTTATCTATGTAAGTTTAGCAGATGATAAATAAACAACTGTTAATACGTGATTTTTCTTAAGATATTGATGCATTAAGTATCAAAATATATTTTAGAAGATTTTGCTTTCTAGCTATGTGTATCCTACACAAATGGAATTTCCATACAAGTCAGCAGGAGAACTGCTATGAAGATTAATACTTTCCCAACTACCAGCCTTGCCTGGACACCATTATGTTGACCTTCCACGTGGTCATTTGAAATCTGGGGAAATGACTTTAGCTGATATTCCGGATTTTGATAGTGAGCAAAGTAGCATTTGGGTTTTGTTAGCAAGAAAATTTTACGTATACTCTACTGTTTCAAATTGCAAATACTAAAAAACTCCCGATTTTTTCCTATAATACCAGCTGTAAAAAAAAGTGCTTTGTTTACTTTGCATTGAAGTAGTTCATATTGAACTTAGCTTTTCACTGAAAGTTGAGATTTGATAAAATTCTTAGGCATTTGTGTGTTTTCTAAGCTATTGCAGATCCCAACCCCCTGCTAGACTAATAAGTGGAGAGGAACATTTTTCAAGCAAGAAGTGCCTGGCTTGGTTTTATGAGTATGCAGGTAATGAAATTAATGTAAGAAGATATCAGTCACATGCTTTAACAATTTTTTTGGTTCATTTATTTAACAGATCATTTATTGCAGGCCTGCTTTGTGTTAGTGCGATGTCCTGGGATGAGGGTCAAGACTGAGGATTATGGGTAGACTAAGAATTTGGTGTCATGTCAGGATGATTTTCTTTAGTTATGTAATTTAGTATATATTTAGTGGGAGGAGTGAAACACATTTACTCTTGATACAGTTTGTAAAGAGACGTAATTTTTGGTTTATGTTCGCTAGCTAAAGTAGACTTAATATTCTGGGAAACACAAAGTATGTAATAAAACATTTTATGCTTTATATAGTTCTTTTCTTTTCCATATTGAAAATTTTCTGAACCCAAACTGACATTTTCTGAAACTTTGGGGGAGCCATAGTATAATTTAAGATTCAGATCTGTCATTACACAACACATTTGCCCCTTAACCATTGCTGGTTAGCCCTCTTCAGTGCTTCTAGAAATGTGGTAATACATCAGAAAATAAACAGACTGATACTAATACAGTGTGATAAATGTTGAATTAGGAAGATGTCCTGCAGTAGTTCCGAGGAGGAACATGTCACCCAGCCTTGGGAGTATCAGGGAAGGGCTTCTGGAAGGAGCTAACTGAAGCGAAATCCTTTCAGTGCTAGCAGCTCTGGGCCTGGGGTGGAGCTGTAGCCTGGGGGTGAAATAGCCCCGGAGGAGACGGCCCAGTTAAACACGTGTATGAAAAAGCAACTTGTTTCCCACGTATTACTAATTTTTTTATAAGCATGTGTGAAAACATTTTTTTTCTCGGAATAGTTTTGGTCTGAGGGAGTTAATGGTTTTATCGCTTCTCCCTTTTATTGCTATCATTCTCAGCATTTAACATAAAACAGTGTATTATTAAAACAGTGTATTATATGTATGCTCATATCTTGTGCTGGGGAGGCCTGTGAACTTTCGGTGTAAGTTTAGGCTAACTGTGGAAAGTAAGATTATTGGTGGGGGACAGCAACTTCAGTGTTGAACCAACTGAGGGATCCCCAAAGTATAATTTAAAAATTGTTTAGTAACAGAACTTTTTCTTTCTAGTCCAGAAAAACTGCTATTACTGGCCTCCCAAGACAATGTCTAACCCAAATTAAATGAAGGGAATTCATTTCTTACTGACCTCCATTTAAATGTTGACCTATTATTCAAAATGCCAGTTTTACTGAAATTCACGATACAGAATCAAAAGGCCACTCATCTTATTTCACTTATAAAGAGATACCACAATTTAGTGCTTTTTTTTTTTTTCCTTTCACACTTATTTGTATTTCCTCTCTTGTGACTTTCCTGGGTAGCATAATATTCTAATTAGCTCAACATTTATTTGCGATTCTAGCATTTCTGTAGTAGTCAGCATAATAGTTGCTGTATTTATTTCAAAAATCGAGCCCAATTATATAATGTTTCCTTACGATCATTCTGTTAGGTAAGTGTTATTTCTTTTTATAGATGAGAAAACCAAGGTTTAAATTGAGTAATTTGCCCAAGGTCATACAGTGACAAAAGCCAGGATTCAGAGCTTGGTCATTCTGATTAGAGAGCCTGTGCTTTTAACTACAATCTTATAATTTCCTTTTTAAATATGTACATGGCAACTAATTTTCCTTATACAAAAAAATATTAGTAAATGCACTTGAGGGTAATTTATATTATGTCATTTATTGAATGATTTAGTAAATATTTATTGAGCATTCGCTGTGCGTCAGGCACTGTTAAGTGCCAGGGATGTCGAAGTGAACAAGTTAGACAAGATCCCTGCCCTCAAGGGACTTGCTTTCTAGTGGGAAAGACAGTAAATAGCTAACTAGGCAAAGCAGTTCTAGTTCTTGGAGCATTGTAAAGCTAAAAATATGGCAGGTGTAGGGATAGAAAGTAGAAAGTTTGGATAACTTTCAAGGAGGGTGATTAGGGAAGGCATCTCTGGACATTACTTTGGAAAGAGACCTCACTGACAAGGAAGAACCAGTCTTTTACCAAATAAACAGTCACCATTGTCTTAAATGGGGTTCTCCCTTATTAAAATAGAGACGGCCATTGTGCCTACTGGAAATAATACCTGTACAGCACTTTGTGCAGTACCTGGAAGTAGTCAGAAGCTCTTACTAACACAGTAATAGCATTACAGCATTAGATTTATGGGTTGTAGATTCTGACAGCTCTGTCCCAGGATTAGCAGGATAGCTCCTGTGTAGCTCATGCGGAAGGTGCTGTGTCATCCATGGAGCACAGTTTTTTTTTCCTGAGCGTCTGCTATGGCTGGCGTGGTTTTAGACTGTGCAGATATAGCTGGCAACATTTTATGGTTATAAAAAAAAAGAAAATTGATTTTTTTTTACTTTAAAAAATATTTTACCATTAATTTTGTTAGTATGATATCATAGGTGATGTGTGTTAAGCCTGATGGTTTTGCTCTTTCAAAAGACCTCTCATCTCGAGTAATAATTACATTAGCAAACATTAGCGTACAGGGGTCCTATTACTGAACAAAAGCATGGAAAGTGAAAAAGCACTTTTAAAACCTTACAAAGAACCCCAAATGCAGGATAGAATTGCTAACTTCTAATAAAGTTCTACCTGCTGGTAGAGTGAACTAAATCATTCCTGTAGCTTTGGAAACTTCTTTTTTGCCTGAAAGAGTTAAATTCAGCGGCAGAGTAGATTCATTGGAAGATGTATTTCAGTGAGTAGAACTAACACGGGGCAGTCCAGGAAAAGAACATTGGTACTGGCCTTGTTTTAGCGTTAGATTTGTAGTTATTTGCATTGGTTTGGAAAAGTCACTTAACATTTACAGAAGGGTCTTGTGTATGTCTTATCTATCTCCCTGTAACAAAATTTAATTTGATTCTCATCAAATTAACCACCAACTAGCCCTACAGTTTCTAGGGAGGCTGTCTTTTACAGTAGTTAACTGATACTTCTTGGCGCAACTCTTGAGCTTTTTCTTCTGGTTACTAATGGTGGCAACTTTGAGGGCAGGTCAGTTTTCTTTTTCATAGTAAAAATTTATAATACGTTTTTGTCATGTTAAATTTTTTATCTAATTTTTACTTCCACCAAACCATATGTAAGGATGCATATTATGTTTTTATAGCTTTATTGTATATGTATGCTTTTAAAATTACATAATTAACACATTCTCATAAAAAAATCCTCCAGATACATATTAGGAAGTGAAGGTGTCCTGTAATTACCATCCATGTCACCTTTTAACACCTCACTGCATGGATAAGCGCAGTGCTTATCTAAACCAGAAAATTAAGGGTTTTGGTTTCAGACCATGTTGTAACATCATCTAGGCAGCCTGGATCTCATCTGAAACAGCAGGAATGTATTGGCCCACATACTGGATGGCTCTACTCTTCTGTGAAGACAAAACCACGGTGCTAGCTCCGTGTTGTGAACTAATGAGGGTGACGGACAGCGCCATCAACGAGTAGCCGTGGTCTAGTCCATGAAGAGTAGAGCTGCAGGATTTCTCTAAGTCCTTAAGAAAGGAAGACAGGGGTCTTTGGGGCCACTTTAATATTTCAAGACTATGTTTTCAAAAATCCAATGTGATAACGTATTTCTATCATTTCATAATTATTTTAATTAACTGTTTCCGTCTTAATTCAGATAGGACATTAGTTTCCGATGTACAACATCGTAATCCAACATGTGTATACATTGCAGAATGATCACCATAAGTCTAGTTAGCATCTATCCCCATACGTAGTTGCAAATTTTTTTTTCTTGGCGATGAGAACTTTTAATATCTACTCTGAGCAACTTGCGGTATATTAACCGTAGTTAGTCCTCATGCTGTACATTACATCCCAGGACTGATCCATTTTAGAACTAGAGGTTTGTACCTTTTGAGTACCTTCACCCATTTTTCCCACCCCCCATCCCTGCCTCTGGCAACCACTAATCTGTGCTCTACATTTATGTGTTTGGGTTTTTTTCCTTGTTTGTTTGTAGATTTCACATACAAGTTACATCATATGTTATCCGCCCCCTCTCCCGACTTGTTTCCCTTAGCATAATGCTCTCTGGGTCCGTTCATGTTATCACAGATTTGTTGTAATCTTAGCAAGCTACGAAAGACCATGTAATCACGATCTTTTTGGAATCTGGTAACATAAAGAAATAGGAGAGTTGGTGTACTGATTTATATCTGGTGCTGCTAAGGGAGAAAATTAAGGTCCAAGCGAAGTATCATTAATTTTTGGACAAGTGATAGAAATAAGCTAATTGAGGGATTAAACTTTTGTTTCTCTATTAAGGCGGCATAGTTATTGCTTTGCTGTGTATTTAGATCCAAGATGATAAGGAAAGTAGTATTTTCCTAAGTGATTATTTTCAAAATGTGTGTACGTTTTTATAGTATTAAATTTTATTTGATTGTATTTCAAAAGGTAATAAATGACCTTATGTTTTAGTTAAGAAAACAGGTATTCTCTTTTAACTGTCTTGAATTGTGGGCTGGTCCTGCACATTCTAGTAAAATTTCTTATGGTTCTTTATATTTACGCATTGTCAAAATTTTTCTTCAGAGAAGGCTTTCAGTAATTTTTTTTTTTTAATGGATAGGTTCAAGTTACTATATAAACAAATGACCGATAGTAATACTACTTCATTTTCCCCCTAAATTTCATTTTGTAATGAAAGTTTAAAAAAGTTTAAAGACTCTTTCAAAAATTCTACATTTTAAATTATATAGCAAATATTTATACTTTATCAAAGATCTGTCAAAATTCAAATTTTGTTATTTACAAAAAAAGTTATGTGTATTCATAGATGCCTTTAGTACAATGGCTTATGTTTTATGTTGATATGAAATTATAACAATAAAATATATAAATTATTTTTGTCTTTGAAGGTCCTGATGAAGTTGTAGGGCCAGAAGGAATGGAAAAATTTTGTGAAGACATTGGTGTTGAACCTGAAAATGTATGTTTTATTTCTAAGTAGAATGGAATACAAGTGGGGTATAGAATATTTGTAAATTTCTAAAATTTGGGACACTTTAATCTTCTATCAAGATTTTGTTTCTTCATGTTTAATGCTGTAGATTGTCATTTTTAGTATTTTTAATCAATTCAAGTTGGGCACATGTTCTCTTCTGTGATAACAAATGTCATTTGTAATAGAGAAAGATTCTACCTTGAGAAACTGTTAGAACTTTATACTTTTAAGAAATTGGCCCATCTAAATTTCTTTGGAGTTAATAATTCCAGAGGTCATACTCTTTAATAGTTGAAGGATGGAAATAGTTGTATAAAAATGCTCTCCATGATAAATATAGACATGATTATCTCTGTGCTGACTTTTCCCCTATCCTTTATGTTCTGTTCTTTCCAGATTATTATGTTAGTTTTAGCGTGGAAATTGGAGGCTGAAAGCATGGGATTTTTTACCAAGGAAGAATGGTTAAAGGGGATGACTTCATTACAGTAAGACATTTTTTTAAAAAACAAATTTGATGGCCTATTTGAAGATCTTAATTGATATTTTGTGCTTCATAACTTTTAGAAGTAAGGTTTCACCTTAAAGGAATCAAATTGGTTTGATGTGTAACAATCAGGGATTGACAAAATTTTATATTGTGGTCTTAACAAAATGAACCGTTACCCCATTTTTCATACTCTCTGAGAACCTCAGTACAGTCTTATTAAAATCATTGACTCTTGGTGGGTGAATTAGTGGTTTGTGATCAAAGTTATTTACGCACAGATTGTTTGAGCAGTCAGGGATTTCCTTCTCTCAATACAGAGTTCTGCTGGTCAGGAGTCTGTTCTTGGGGCGGTCCTAAGCTCTGGGGCCTCTTCTCCTCTGCAATTTTATGCCTGATTTTGAAAAGATATTTGAAGATAGAGTTATGTGGCACTTTTATTATTTCTTTCTGCTAAATTAATCTGACAAAAAGATAAGTGAAAAGTTGTGAGGCTTCCCTGTAGCCCCAGCCACGTTCCAGTTACACACTTTCAAATGCTGCCTCAAACTCTCGTGAGGTTTCAGAATTGCTTCTGTATAAAACTCATGTGATTTCAACCTTCCAGAGTAAAGTGTGCTTAGTTTCAAAATCAGTTAGTAATTATGTGTTATTTTTAAATTATGTCATGTTCCTAATATTCATGCAGGATGTTACTAATTACCAACATTCTAAAATAGAGGAAGCATTAATTTACAATACTTTTGAACCAAAAGTTGGGGGTTAATTAGCCATGTGGTTTCCTATTGTGGTTATGCTTTTATTAACAATTTACTCATTATTACTTATTTGCGTGTCCTTAAATTTCAGAATACCTCAGTTATTTTTTTAAGTGTGTCCGTTCAAATGGAACTGAATTTTTATATTTGAATGTTAAGCATTACATGCTTTGTAATTGTCCTTTTTAACCAGTATTAACATGTAGATATTTCTGATATATTTATGTAAAAACCTTTGCTTATATGAGCCAAATTACAGCTTCTAAAATAGAACATAAAATCAACCCTGTCATTTTAATTATTTATACGTGACATAAGATGTCAGACTTGGAGAGGTGAACAAAATGTTTGCCAAGGTTTATGTAGCTGTTTAGTGGCCCAGCTAGGACCTAGAATTTAAATTTCCAGATTACCAGTCTAGCATACTGTACTTCCTATTGCATTATCTTCCTGTATATGTGTTTTGAATGTTTTTGAATCACAGTATTTACAACCAGGCTTGAATCCTGTCATTCATCTAAGGTGTCATAACATACCAAATTCAAATGATGTTGATTCTGAAATTCTTTGGAAATATCTAAACTTCAGTTAGCTTTTTAGAAAAGATAAAATATACAGACAAGTATGCAAAGAATATAACTAATTTTCATATAGTTTTTGTCTGTTTTATTGGAACTTGTATCAGTTGTGACATTGCTTATTGATTGTAAGACATTTTATTTGGCACTATAATTGCTTTTTGTACTACTCCCGCTGAATTTTTTTGTATATTGCTTTTTTGAACATCCCAGCTAATAAGTGTTCATGTACTTTTAAACCAAAACGTTCTTATTGTTTTTGCATAAATTGATGTAATATAAAGAGTCTTTGTATAACAGAAATGTGGAAACACAAATCATTTCTAATAATTAGAATAATTAGCATATGGCTTTCATTACAAGAATAGAAATTGACTTAACCCTGGAACATATTATTTTTTATTCACACATCTTTTCTGTAGGAAGTTCACAAGCTACACAACATAAAGGTAGTTATTGAACATTTAAAATTGACCCTGAGGTCAATAAATGTTTCACTCATTTATTATCCCCTGCCCCTCTGCTTTACTCCATGCTGTAAAGCCTTGTTGCTGCTCAAATTTGGCAAGGGTTGTTGACTGGGAAAATAGTTGTTTTTTTTTTTACCCACAATCTAGATTGCTATGTGAAGTACAGAGCATCTCTTGTCAGTTAGCCAAGTCTTGTTACTCCCTGAATTTTCTTGTAAAAAAACTTGCAAAGACTATAGTAGTATAAAACTGAAAGCAGGAGAAACAAAAGAATCTATAGAAGTCTTAATTTTTGATTTTGTAGTATCCTAGTGTACTTGGTTTTATTTAATACGTATAGTCATAAAATGTAAAACTTCACAGACTTGATTTCCTTTGTAGATTTTTCATAGTCCTAGGATTTGCTTTAACTTGGGCATAGTTATGTGTTGGTCCCTAAATTGGCTTAATGTAGTTTTCAGTTGTTTCAAATTAATTATTTTAACCCTTAGAAAACTTTAATAGGGCTCTGTTGAGGAATAGAAACAGCCTGGTAGCTAAAACCTAGACGTGCTCGAGGATTGTAGACTGTAACAACCGTGATTGATTAAAATCTGTCATTGTGTAGAATACTTCTGTACCTTCATTTATTTTCAGGCTGTTAATTCATACAGACTTTGTGTCTGTAAATTGCCTTTCTGTTTTGTGTGGAAGAACTTGTGGGTGTGAGTTTGTGTAGAAGTAGCCTCCAGTAGCCATTTCCTCGGTATGGGAGGACAGAGTTGCCACTTCCTTCGCAGGGACGTTACTCTCTAGTTGCCATCGTTGTTCAGTAACTGCCCCATTGCCCCTCAGATGGGATTTGATCTGTAGACCCGTACGCTGTGCTCCTGTGCTCTGTCGGGTGCTTTGCTGCTTACCTGTTACCACAGTGACACAGAAGGCTGGTTCTGCCCTCTGCTGAGCATGCTGAGAGGGCAGGGAGGGCCCTGGGATGCTGCCACCCCACGTCCAGGGGAACAAGACCGGCGCTAGAGTGTGGAAGCACAGCCGCTGTGCTGTGCTCAGATTAACTGAGGCCTCGTGAGATGGGAGAGGCTGTACGCAGGGACCCTTTGATGAACGGGGCCTTAAAGCATGGGTAGGATTTTGATGGTGAAGGATATAGGAAATGTTACTGCTGAAGAGAACTCATGAGCAGAGCCTTAGGAAAGGAACGTGTGTGTGTGTGTGTGTGTGTGTGTGTGTGTGTGAAGAAGTCTGGTTGGTTCTAATCCAAAGGTACGTAAAGAAAATCGACAGAATAGGTTTGAATTCCAGATGGCGGGAATAATGTGGACAGAGCCTCAGCCCTATGTTACAGAGCGTGGGAAGTCATCAGAGAGCAGATAGTTTGCAACAGAGCCGTTGTTTTCATGTCTGATGGTCATAGACTCTTGCGAGAGCTTTATGAAATCTGGCCCCGTCCCCATGACGACACACCTGTGCTGCTATCCACAGCGCGGCTCTTCTTCTTCCTCACATCCGTGCCTGCTGGAGTCCAAGGGTGCTCACTGGCCAGAGCGGAGAGCTTTTCTCACATCTGCTAGCTGAGAGAGGGGTTGGAACAAGGGTGAGACACCATGTTGGTGGAGAAGACAGCATAGAACCCTGAAAGGACTGTCCTTGATTACGATCATGAGCAGATGCGGCGGGAGGTAGGCACCTTCCAGGAGTGGCAGCAACTACGCTGCCTGTCCTGCGTGACAGGTTGTCCACCCTCTAGTCTCTGTAGTGAGCTCCGGACTGTGGAGATCCAAGGCAGGATCTGGCTTGACTGGATTTAGGTAAGAAAGGAATGGGCAGCATTTATCTGACTTTTTGGTGAGGATGGAAGAGTGAGGTGGACAGGGTGCTGTGGCGTGTGTGACTGTCATTTATGTAGCATTTGGGGCCCAACTACTAATTGCCATTAGCATTCTTCTGCTGTGCTCTCCATGACAATTTTAAATGCCCCCTCCACATTTCCAAATACCCCCACGGATGTACCGTTTTGGTCAGTAGACCTCATTCAGAGAAAGTTCTAGATAAAGAACTTAGTGAGTAAAATTTTTCTGTTGTCTATCAGTGTCACAGCATGCTTATTTGGGACTTCTCTAAAGAAGAGAATCTCACGTAGATCTAATACGTAAATGGTAATTTCTTCTCATTTTGGAGGTCTTTAAATTAGAAGCAGAAATTTAAAATCCTCCCATTAAAATCAAATATTTAGCAATACTCAGGAAATTAATGTCTAAGTCCTAATGTTGAGATTTAAACTCGTTTCTACTCATTCTAACCAGTCGCCTTGGGGAATGGTATCCTTTGGTGCCAGTGTCCCTAAAATCCGTGGGGTTTTGTTTAGTTGTTATTTATTTTTTTATTTTTTTTTTTTTTTTTATAAATGTTTGTTTTTTTATTTATTTGACAGACAGAGATCACAAGGAGGCAGAGAGGCAGGCAGAGAGAGAGAGAGAGGAGGAAGCAGGCTCGCCACCGAGCAGAGAGCCCGATGTGGGGCTTGATCCCAGGACCCTGGGATCATGACCTGAGCCGAAAGCAGAGGCTTTAACCCACTGAGCCACCCAGGTGCCCCTGTTTAGTTGTTATTTAGAAACTCTCTTGCTTTCTGTGATGTACTAGTGAAGTGTGCTTTTCTTTTTACTTCAAGGGAAACGTTCTTTCTAATCTTTCCAAGTTACAAGGTATGGACATGCTAATCTCCGAGTCTCTCTTGGGCTAGGTTAACTGTGAGAGTTGTAAAGTGTCCGTGACCGCTTGGGTACGCTCCCGGCTTTTCCAGTCCTTCAGTTTCTGTGCTGTGAGTACTGAACACGAAAGTTTGTTCTCTTGTTTCTTTCACTCTTCAAGAAGAAAACATCAGCTATTTGTGTTCTGTGAGATTCTTTCTCTGCTCGAGACTGAGGTAGACGGTGGGAGTGGTGTGAGGTAGTTTGTGCAGAGACTGCAGGGTGCAGGTGATTGTAAGCCACAGGCCTGAGAAGGGGCATCTCTCACGGAGAACTGTCGTGATCACGGAGCTTGTGTATTCCTTACCGCACGGCTGTCTGTTCCTGTTCCTGTCCCGTTAAAATGAGGGGTCAGTGACGTGCCTGAAGCCACAGGGAAACCACAACTTCTGCCGAGGGAGAGGTTGGAATTGCACCTGGTCTCTCGGTTTGACTGGAAGCTTAGCTT